CCACCCACCGCCAACTCTTGGGTTACTCTTTTACTAATGAATAGTGGGATTGACCGTCACATTATTAACGCCCCCACGGCTGAAAGGGGCGAGCATGTTTGGTGTGACGAGGATTCGAACCCGCGACCCTCAGTTTGCGAGTTGAGCGTCTTATCCACCTGGCCATGTCGTGCCAAATTAATTAGAACAATTTCTTTGTATACAGTTAAGCACAAATCTACACAATGGGCTATCTGTGCTCTGCCCACTACGGGTATCGAAACCAGATTTATAGCATTGTAAGTCTGCAGATACACCTCTGCATGAAATTTTTAACAAGTCTTTAATAAAATATTGGGCAATCCACACAAAAAAAAAGGGTTGAAAAACTTACATATTTAACAATTCTGTCCTATTCAACAACTAAAAATACACTACATCTGACATTTCTTAGTTACTTATCAAAGCTGAAACTTGGATAATAAACAAAAAAATGTAGTAAAATTATTATGGAATGTGGTTTAAATCTTTCCTTTTATTACAGAAAAGCATAGTTAAAGTAGGACAATCAAAATTTAGTAAATACAGAAATGCTGAAATTTGAATCAAGGAAATCAAAAATCAAAAAAGACAATACTAAAGGCAACTTTTGTTTCTGGTCAAACACTTATACATCAATCTGACACTTATACATCAATCTGACACTTATACATCAATCTGATATGTTTAAGACATTTTTATTAAATAATATTTTGATAAAGTATCAAAATTATAAATGTTATGGATTATGAAATCATGACTTTGGGTAGAACTATACAATCATTTAAGCATAAAGACTAATTAATTTAATGTTATTATTATTACTAGCAGAACTGCCACCCTATTGGCGGCTGTTTGTACTAGGAATTACTAATTGTAATATTCATACCTCATTGAAAAACATTTACAAAATGTGAACATTTCCTAAAAAGATTTTTCTTGGAAGTACTGCACGGGAAAAAGTGTTTGGGTTGTGCTGATTATTATAAACTGTAATGCTTTAATATATTAAAAGTAGTACCCTTTATTGAAAAACTACAGTTTTTTTTTTAAACTCCATTTTTATAGTACTATACTTACAAATTGTGAGGAGAGTACTTTTATTTAAAATTGTGTTCTGTGATAAAGAAATGGTTGTTGCACATACCGTAGATATTATTATCATAAAAATTAATAGTTAATTAGTAACTAGCCTTAAGTTATTGTATAGGCTACTAACTCAACAACGATTCAATAGCTCACAAATCTGGGTTATGATATCTATGAAAAGAGAAATATTGAAGAAAAAGTTTTAGTTACTGAAGAAGATGTAAGGATTCCTCACCCGATAAAGCATGAAAGTTCTTCTAATGGTTTCAAAAACAATAAGTGTTGTCCAAATACAAACAGCAGAGTCTACATAAAAATTCCCACAAGAGGGCCACAGTACAGCCAAGCTGAACAACCCCAGGTAAAACATGTAGAAAATCTAGAAGATTATAACAAAACAATACACAATCTTTTCTTCAGAGAAAATACTAGCTATACAATTTCAGGTTAGCTTCAAAATTATCATTTTAGAGCAAACAATATATGGTTTTTTTATTGTTATATTTATTACCTAACAGTGTTTATTTCTAATCATATAGTTAAACTATTAAAATAACATGTTTGAGTATTCTACATAACCTAAAAAATGGATCAAATATATAATCTACACAGTAACTATAAAACACAAAAGTACAGAAATGTATAAATTCCCATAAGAAATAGAATTGTACTTTAAACTTTTAAACCTACAGAACACTTATTTCAAATTGTAAAAAAGAAAGTTTTATGAATTTCGATGACGAGG